TTATTCTCATATTCGTCATGTTATTTCTTTTCTTTCTTGGAATTGCAAATGCAATTAATAAAAAGTCGTGTGTAGCTGCTTGAAACTGTTCGCATAAAAAGTGGTTGATATAAACATAAGAAAAGTATGATGACTACCAGAAGTGGCGTTTTCTGAGCAAGAAAAATGGGTATACAAAACGGTGTAATACAGCAGGGAGAGCTATACACGGGACGCAGAGTCGACCACTACGTTAGTTTTGGTTTGGGGGGGGGGGGGGGGGGGGGGGGGGGGTATGGTAATGGTAGGTGTTGATATGAGGTATTGTTGTGGGTAATTGATCAACATATGCATAAGCACATTCACACCCACACTCACCCACGTCAAGCAATAATTGATGCCAAATAAATGTGATACTTTCTTCGTTTAAATCGCGAATTGAATATTGTTTTAGATCATTGAGCTCAAAGAATGTACTTAAAGGAATGTCGTCGTAAGGTTATGTCGATAACGATGGCATACTGTTGAACTACTGTTCATTATGGCTCTTGTTATCAACCGTAATGACACCGACGATAATTCGTATTTATTTAACTACCGAAAAGAGCAAAAAAAGCGATGCGCTATTTCTAGTGGGTTTTTTATTCCAACGTTAATGTATAATGAACCGAAACAACAAGAAAGCATGCAATAAATGACGACATATGAGTCCAACATTCACCTGTATATGCATCACTATTTCTACCTTCGCTTATGTATCACTGTGCATTGATGGTAACCATGAAATGTCTAATTTGATTTATAATGTAGATGTAGTTTCAAAATTTTTTATCATTTCGAAAATAAGTAATAAAATAAAATATGAACGTATCGATTTATATCATTTATTAAAAAGATGATAAATGAGAGCGACTTCCTTGGACATTAAAGAAAAAAATAAAAAAAATAAAAGTTTTTCTTCATTCATTATTTATGGTAAATGTTATGATACAGTTAATGTTGCTAATAACAGCCATTTTAAGGGACTGTCAGTAATTTCTTGTTTACTAAGCCATTCCTCGTAATTAAAAATATTTTTTTACATACTTGAGTGCAGAAATGCCTACTGCATCGAATAGTGCAAAATCAACTCATTAATTCGCAAGTTGCACGAGTAATTAGCGGTAGTTTGCGAATAACAGGATTTGTTTTTATTAAAAGTGCTGTTTCTAATAAGAACACGAGTGAAAAAATGGTCTTATAAAAACACTTCATCTAAAATATATAGCAAAGGAAGTTCTTTTAGTAGGTGAGCGTCTTTTAATCTGAACCTGAAAGTTTCAGTGTAATTCTCAAACAAAACATGTTCTTTATCATTCACACGCATATTCTGAGAAGATTAAAAGCAAATTAAAATGAAACATCACTTTTGGATAAATAATTTCGGATATATGTTATAGGGTAAATTAAAAATCAGGAGAATTTTAAATATTTCCAAGGCAAATCAAATTTCTATTTTTCCTAAGAATTCTATACGAAGAGTTGAAAATTTTAATTTCTCGTAGGATAAATTAAAGTTGGATGAACCTATGGAGACCCGACTACTTTTTGAAAAAAGTTCTTTTTTGAATTTTTTTTCTTTCAAAATGCCAGTAAACTCTAGAGAGCACTTTTGATGAAAAAACCCAGATCTTTCCTATTGAAAATCTCGAGTTTTGGATCATTTACTCGGAACATTCCATGGTACATTGTCAAAGACAGGAAAACATCGAGAAAAAGCCTAAAACTTCTTCAAAAATGACTTTTTCAGCACTTTCTTCTACTGAAAAACATGGAAGAAATCGGAAAAATATTTTTAATGGGGTATAAACCAAACCTTTTCTATTAAAAATCTTGAGTTGTGAGTCATTTTCTTTAAACATAACAATGATCGTAGTTCACGAACTTGAGTGATAACCAATTAATTATCTCTCACAATATCTAAATTGATTTGACGGATTTTCTCGTCTGTCTCAAAGATTACAACGACTTTGATCAAAGCGTCCTTTCAGGGCTGTCCTGACCTAATGGTTTTGCTTAAGTAACTCAGAAATAACGCCATTAGGTTATCTTTCAGAAGTCAGACAGCATGATCTCATAATCAGCTTTCTTGTGTTACCCTCAATCGAACTTCTGAGAAGGATAACGCAGTAGCGACCGAGATTTTTTTTTTTTGAATTTTCTGGAATTTTTAATAAATCCAATGCATTTTGAAATAAATCTCACACAATCGTGCAATGAGAGCGAGAGTGATGGTAGGAGTGTCAAGGAAGCGGGCAGGATAGTGTGGATACTCTGGAACACTGATGCCATCGATGAATTCTAATGAATCCTAAATGAGTAAATGAATCACGTAGAGAAAATAAGTCTCGATAACTCCTCGTAGCCAGACAATACTCTTCTACCATTTTACATGAGACATTGGATTGTTGATACTTTTTAATACATGAAAAGGAGATGGGTGATTCACACATGATCTTTCTCAACATAACGAATAAGCACGCTAATAGGTATATAGAAGATTTCTTGATCTAAATATTGGATTACGAGAACAAAAGTTATCATGTAAATGAAAAGAACACAAGGACTCCGAGATTATTTTTTTCCAAGATGAACAAGAATGAAACCGAGGTGTTACGGTCCAGATTTCGATCCGACTAGAAATTTTATCGCAGGACTTGATCGTTTGAGTATGTTTGATATTATTACGAAAATGCCTACAATCATTATTTTCTAGCAAAAGAAGACGACGGCCTTAAGAAAGTCCAAAGCGAGTATGAGTAACACTTTAATTCCTATCAAAAAAGAGTAAAAAAATTTATTCTCTGTATATTCTGATAGAGAAAAAAAATGTTCTATTTTTCTATGTTATTTAACAAGATCTATTTTGTTCACCTATGTAGTAATAATACCGACTTTCATTACAAAAAAGAAGAAGAACGAACATCTTTTGAATAACTTTTGCTAGAAAGATGCGATTTTTGACATTGTAAAGAGCAAATCAGACTGTATCAAATCGTGTATTATAGGTTTTTATAATATTGATTTTCAAAGTACTTTTATTCAATTTTCTATATATCGAGAAAATGCATTATTCTATGAAAAAAAACAAAGAAGAAAAGTCATCTTTTTCCAGAGAAATTACCAGACAATCGTATTAAAGGCTTGATCAGAACAGGTAATATCCATCTGAACCTTTCACAAATTCTAGTTCTTTGATTAGTGGTTTGAATGTATACTTGCCTATTAAAACTTGATTATAAACAACTTATAGGATAGGTTTATTCTTAAAAATATGAATTGCACGACTTATAAAAAATAGGTCGGAATAATATGTAATGGACGATTTGATGCATCTTGATCTGCTCTTTAGAATGGTGAAAATCGTATCTTTCTAGTAAAAGCTTTTTGGATTGAGCGTCAAATACTGTATTTTCTCTATTAGAATATACAGAGAATAAGTTTCTTTACATTTGTCATAAACAATTAAAGTGTCACTTTCATACTTTTGGACTGTTCTAAGTATTTTGGTAGTAATAAATCCAAACTATGACATACTTTAATTTGGTATATAATTTGTTGTTGATGTCGTTTGAAACTACAACTTTATCTATGTGAAAAAATATTATTTTCAATTCTGGATATACCTTGAAATTCGAATATCTCGATCCTGGCATGCCGTAAGCATGTAAGATTTTAAATTTATTAGTTTGTCAATGAGATCTTCCATTTGGCCTGAATGTGTCGAGTGCTCTTGAGTTACAGCATGCGCACTATTATTGATAATTGCTGTGTAAAAGTGGTAAGTATGATGATGTGAAACAGTCTCTAATACTGTCACAAAAGTGATTTCTGTTGTAAACTTTATTTTGTCACATGTTGACTGATTTGAAAATGCTCATTATAATCTATTACTCAAGACATATTTTTCTGACATTATGTATGATCAATTTATATTGCTACTTTTGTTACAATGTGAAAACATTACAATGTCATGTTATTATTTCTATTCTCTGTCTAAATTGTTGTTTAAGAAATGTATAAAGAATGAATTATTGTTATATATTAGAAGAGAAATGTTTTATCATTTACATTTTGCCTTTGACCATTTTCAAACCTATATTATATTGTTGAAGATTTGGATGATCTGAAGGTAATGAATTTTGTCCAATATGAACAGCACGTTCAAAGCATGACAATGCTTTCGAATAATCATCCATATTGTAATAAACTTTGGCAACACCGGTGTACGATACAGCCAAAAGAGGATGATTAGAAGAAAAGAAGTTTTTCATGAATTTTCAGAGCTTTTTCAAGGAATAAAAATGCTTTTGAATCATCTCCCATAGTCTCATACACCAAACCTAGATTATTGTAAGAAGTAGTTAAAGCTGGATGATCAGAAGAGAGAGATTTTTCTTGAATTTCAAGGGCTTTTTCATAATATAAAATTGCTTTTGAATAGTCGCATAAGTTCTTATACAACACACCAAGATTAATGTAAGAAGATGCTAAATCAGGATGGTTGGAAGGAAGTGTTTTTTCGTCGATTTCAAGTGCTTTTTCATAAAATGGAAGTGCTTTTGAATACTCGCCCAATATATTCAATGTCATTCCAGTATTGATGTAAGAAGTAGTCAAGTTAGGATGATTTGAAGGAAGAGTTTCTTGATAGATTTCAGTTGCTTTTTCATGAGATGATAATGCTTTCGAATACAAACTCATCTTGTGATACAACAAACCAATATTGTTGTAAGAACGACCTAAATTAAAATGATTGGAAGGAAGATTTTTTTTTGATAGATTTCAAGTGCTTTTTCATAATAGAAAAGTGCTTCTGAATATTCTCCCATCTCATCATATTCCATACCAATATTATTATAAGAAGTAGCTAGATCAATATAATTATGAGAAGGATTATTTTGTTGAATTTCAATTGATTTTTCATAAAAGGTAATTGCTTGAGTATAATTTCCTTGATTATCATTAACCATGGCAAGTATATGATAAATATTTTTTATCTCATCATCATTTGATGTTTGATCGAGCATTATTTCACATACTTATTCTGCTTTGTTAAACTGATCCATTTTAATTAATAAATTACTCAATCGATAACAACCTACAGTATGTGGAAATGTTTCATTTCGTATTTCTTCTTCACCGGGATAGTAACTGACATTATTAATGTTAGCAAAAGGTATCGAAAGTATTGAAGGATCAATTGTCATTACCAATAATATACCTACTTTGTTAGAATCTTTTCTCGTACTACGACGGGCAAAGGTCAAAGAAACATCACGCTTTTTACTTGTCGATAAAAAATTATTAAACGAAAATAAAACACCTTTCGTTTTTATTGTTTTGTCAAAATTTGCTTGAGATAAACCTTGACTACGATAGAAGATAAATGAATCTGAATGACAATCGTTACCGTATTGTTCCAAATGTAATTGAGCAATTTGTTTATGAAGATCATTAACAAAGAAGCCTAATTTAATAATAAGATCTACTTCCATAGTACCTGATGCTTTATTGATCATTGAATAGAGAAAACATTCATAGGTATACCATCAAATGAGTGTATGTTGATGATATTCTTTTTCAATTTTGTCAATATTTCTTAATTCGATTGTATTGTCAATGAATGATTGTCGACAGTAATTAAGAAAGTCTCTGATATGTTCTTCTTCGAAATTGATTGGTAATAAAATTCCTTTTAATATTTGAGTATACATGAAAGATTGATCTAATTGAGCGAGATTTGTTTTTCTTGTATCTTCATTAGTGGGAAAAAAAATAATTGAAATACTATTTTTATCACATTCATGAACAGCTTGTTTGAGTGCTTCACAGATCAAAGTGATATCTGTAAAAAATACCTGTAACTTTACGCCATTGTTCAATCTATTGCTCATGTTGGTCTTTGTTTTCATAAAGTATATAAATTGTACTAATATTTTCGATATCGTGTATGATGAATATTACTTTTTGATCAAATATTTCAAAAGAAATCAAGAAGATCTTCTCATGATCTATGTCTGTAACGAAATCCATGCATTCATCGAGATCAGTAAATATATTCACAGTATTAATCACTTGTCGTAATTGTGTCATTGTCTTGCGAAGGTCACTGCCATCGATTTCATCAATATTATTCATCAACCATATGAGAATGAAGTTTTGAACTACACGAGTATGAGATGATCGAGATCGTCCTGCATCTACATTTTTTGCAGAGCTGAATCTTTCTGTATTCTTTTCTTCATTGGTAATACTATCAAACGTTCTTGACTTCTGCTTTTCCATAATGTGTAATGATTGTATGTCTTTAAAATATTAAATATTAGAAAGGCATATTAATAAACAAGAAGAAAGTTAATACTTGTTAATTATATATAGATTTTGAATGCAGTCAAGATTGAGATAAATGAATTATTTTGAATAACAAAGAAGACGTGAATGAAATTACTTTTTAATCGTATATATTCTTTTGTTTATTCATAGTCATGCTTCGTCAATGAAGCTGATGTTTCAAACCGATTTCGCATGAAAAAAAATACATTTATTATACTATATAACATGCGAACATCTGTTTTTTTCTTTCTTTCTCATACAGTGACGAGGACGGATCCATAAATTGATGATAGTAGACGATAATTCACTCTATTTGTTTAACTATCGATAAAAAAAAAGGAAAAAGAACACAATAAAAGCGTTTCTATCAATATTTTTAGCAGGAAATTTTATTCTGGAATATCGAAATTTGACTATACTTTTGAGAACTAGAGATGCTTATTTATGATGATATCTTTTAAGAATAAACGATAAACTTAAACACATTTTCAAATCAGTACAACAGAAAAACTAAACTACGCACTGAAAGTGATAATCCGATAAAAAAAATAAATGCATAGTATTAATTATTATTCCTTTTTAAACTGGTGATGATTTTTCACATAGGAACTTACAAAATATAAATTTTTAGTATATTGTATTATGATCAAGGCTACGCGAAATAAAATCTTTAGCAAAATATCCTATTGACTTCTGTGTAGTTCATACAGTTCTCTATCTATAGACATCGTAAACTCAGTCGAATTAAACATATATATAAAAATATGAAAATAGACTTTAAATTACTGTCTTAACACTGACCAGAAATCAAAAGTTTTGATCATCATTTAGTGATGAAATTTCCTGCTCTAGAAAAATCATGTCTAATTTAATATCTATGAATGTATGTTTCATACGTCAACAATAATCTAGATGTCAATAATATGATTGTTAAAAACGTTTAGAAGACTGATGATCTGAGAAGGTCGAATCGCACTTAGATATATCATATCCACACCTAAATGCAGCACCATAGAAGCTTTAATACTAGCTATGACAAGGGTTTAAATCTCGAAAAAACGATTTCATCGGATGGTTGTTCACTATACTTCACAACGTAGTTGTAAAATCATACAAACATCACTAGAGTGTTTTCGTGTATGTTCTCTATCAATCCGATGTTTTCTGCTTTTTCTCGGTTTAGATATGATTTTATTTATGAGAAAAAAAAATGATGTTTAAAATCGACGGACAAAACTGTATCGAATGATGTAACTTATAATATAATCCTCAAGGATTCTTCATAGAAACATATTTTTTTGAATTTATTACTCATATTAATATTTAGCACCGAACACGTGAAAATTGATATTCTAGTGTAAACAACGATGATTTCAACAGATAATAAGCTATTTCGAGGTGTTCTGTAGAAAGTGCTTACGATGAGATGAAATAGAATAGATACAATCACTACTAACTTTTTTCTTGATAGTTGACTGGCTCAAATGGAGAAACCACAATTACGAACCTTTAGTCAGATACTAGTCTCAGCTTATGAGCATTATTTGCTCTTTCTTTCTGCACAACTACAATATTCCAAGTATTGGCAAACTTCAAATAATAGATCAAAAGAATCTGAGTGAAGAAAGTATAATACAACATTTGGTCGGAGAACAGGAGAATGATTCTCCACCATGTAGGTAAATTTTTGTATGCACAAGTAGAAGTTGCCGTTGGTGAAACTTTCAGATACATATGCTTCCAAGAGAGTGCATCTAACGATATATTAGAACCATCTGCCACAAAAAAATACAGTCTCACTCTGATTTACTCTCATCACATGATAAGTAGTCATAGAAGCAAGCGGCGAACTAATATGTTATGCAAATATCAGTAGATGGTGTTCACTGCGATGTAAATGTGAAGAAACGACTTTCATTTGTACGTTAGCGTGTCATTGACAGTAAGATGGATTATTATTTATTAATGTTGTTTCTTTGTATTAATTCATATGGATAGATGGTTGTTAATGCCAGAATCGACAACGACACGTCTGATTCACTATGGTCCGCAGATTAAGGCAATTCTCGAAATACTTATCACATCAAACTATCTATGCCAATTAATTATACCCAGAAATCATGGACCTATGAATATAACTTAACATCACAAGATCTCACTCAATTCGGTTTACGTGCTAGTATTAATGATGATATTTACTTCTTCCTAAGTCTGTCAAGATCTCATAGAGGTAAATTATTATATTTAATACAATGATAGTTATTATTTTTTCTCCTCACAAAAATTGTTCGATTGTATATCTAAGTATACAATAGAGTTCTAACAAAATAGTAAGATAATGTGTCATATTTTACTTCAAAATGTCTTACAATATTTTGAGATTACATTAATTTCAGAGAAAATTTTATATCAGAAAAAAATCTACCTTAAATTGATAACGATAATATTTATTAATTGCAGCTGATTTTCTAATTTGTCTTACTTCAAATGGTATTGTTTGCTGGAAGCTCTGTTTGGAGCTTGTGCCAGACATGTTGCCAGTTGGTGTTTCCAACATTGTTTCCAATTCACAAGGAGTACTGTTCTATACCGTTTCATGGACAGGTGATGAATCTTATACAGTGAAAATTTGTCGAATCACAGAGAACGAGAAATATGATCTTTTGGTAACGGCTGTAATCGATGATGAATTTGACTCAGTACCAGCTGTTTTGAACAAAAAGACGCTGACTGTGCAATGGATAAACAGGCATTTTTTTGGTGCTGGTATGAGTAGACACTATCGATGTGATATAAATACGGATGATATATTATGGATAGGTGGCGATCGTAATCTATTGAAATTTAATCATAACGGGCAAAATCTTATCAACAATTATACACAACCTAATGATGCTGGTAGAGATTTTGTTTTAGACAAGCAAAAGCAAGTAATTATACGACCGTGGCAAAGTATGACTGATTTACCATGGAAGTATGTTGTATCATCATATGACGTCTCAATACGAGAAATTACACTACGCTGGAATTGGCATCCACTTTCGTTGATTGTTGCAAATGATGATATGACAACACCTAGTATAGATGACAAAGGTATAGTTTATATGTCTAGCATGTCTCTCGTATTTGCTATCGCCAATGTGGGAATAACAGTATGGACAAGTGAATTGGCAACACCAAGTTAAATGAAAACATTTCATTTAGTTTCTTTTTGCATTGCAATGAATTTAAAACGACGTACTCTTTTACATAGTATCTGGTTCTTCAATTTATCAAAAATCCAAATTTCTCTATTTCATCACTGCTGTGAATATGGATACCGGCAAGGTAATTAAATGTATTGATGTTAATGTAGGAAGTAAAAAATACATTATACCACAATGTTCGATCTGAATTGGCGACGAAATATTCTACTTTGTGTGGTTGACAGGACAGTATCCAGAATCAGTGCCCTTGAAAACTGTTATGAAGCAAGTTTGAGCATCAAACAACGAAATCGGACAAAAATGTGTATAGATGAATGTCTATAATATTTATCAACTAGACTCGCATCGCAAGCTAATTTGCCCTAGTAACTGAAAATATTTGAAAATATATTCAAGTAAAGCAAATATAAAGAGAATCAAAAAGAAAATATTCTCGTTTCGATCAGTACCGGACATATTTAAATCAAATATAGTTTTTAAGTAAATAATCTCTTATAAGTACGCAGTACTAACGAAACTCTTTTAGTTGGATATGAGCTAAATCAAGGCTATTATATTCAGAGTTGAAATTGAACAGCTTTTTCATGATCGATCCAGTCTCGTCGGTAATTTTAAAATCTGATGCTTTTGATTTATTTTTTTGAGAAATTTTATTCATAAAACAGCATTTTCTGAATAGAACCAGTATGCATATGCTGTTCAATATATTTTTCTTTGCTAATTTAATCAT